CAGGTGACCCCCTGACTCTTATATGAGAGCAGTGAGGAGTGCAGGTGACCCCCTGACTCATATATGAGAGCAGGGAGGAGTGCAGGTGACCCCCTGACTCTTATATGAGAGCAGGGAGGAGTGCAGGTGACCCCCTGACTCTTACCTGTGGTGCAGGCTGTTATATAACAGAGGAAACGTATGAGTAACATGAGTGCATAGAGTCGGTAGCCCATCCTGCTGAGTGGGGTGTTGTTCTATTTCCAGCCTCTTCCAGAGCCCTCCGGGACCGCTAACCGGAGCTCACATCCAGCTCAGGAAGTGTACGGGCGAGCAGCGCCGAGCTGTCCATGAGCCGGGATCTGTCCTCGGTGCTGAACTGCCAAATATTCCCACCAACCGGGAGCTCTCCGCGGTGCTGAATCAGGTCCAGGAGAGTCCTCCGCCGTCCACACCCGGGAGAGAGGAGCCCTGAGGAGACAAGGGGGCCAACATTACTATTAACCCTTTACCTGAGAGGAGATAAGAGGGCCCACATTACTGGATTAACCCTTTACCTGAGTAGAGACAAGAGGGCCCACATTACTGGATTAACCCTTTACCTAAACACAGACAAGAGGGGCCACATTACTGTATTAACCCTTTACTGGAGAAGAGACAAGAGGGGCCACGTTACTGGATTAACCCTTTACCTAAGCACAGACAAGAGGGGCCACATTACTGTATTAACCCTTTACCTGAGAAGAGACAAGAGGGCCCACATTACTGTATTAACCCTTTACCTAAGCAGAGACAAGAGGGCCTCCATTACTGTATTAACCCTTTCCCTGCATAGATAGAACATTGCTCATATTACTATATTAACCCTTTCCCTGCATAGATAGAACATTGCTCATATTACTATATTAACCCTTTCCCTGCATAGATAGAACATTGCTCATATTACTATATTAACCCTTTCCCTGCATAGATACAACATTGCTCATAATACTATATTAACCCTTTCCCTGTATAGATAGAACATTGCTCATATTACTATATTAACCCTTTCCCTGCATAGATAGAACATTGCTCATATTACTATATTAACCCTTTCCCTGCATAGATAGAACATTGCTCATATTACTATATTAACCCTTTCCCTGTATAGATAGAACATTGCTCATATTACTATATTAACCCTTTCCCTGTATAGATAGAACATTGCTCATATTACTATATTAACCCTTTCCCTGCATAGATAGAACATTGCTCATATTACTATATTAACCCTTTCCCTGTATAGATAGAACATTGCTCATATTACTATATTAACCCTTTCCCTGCATAGATAGAACATTGCTCATATTACTATATTAACCCTTTCCCTGCATAGATAGAACATTGCTCATATTACTATATTAACCCTTTCCCTGCATAGATAGAACATTGCTCATATTACTATATTAACCCTTTCCCTGCATAGATAGAACATTGCTCATATTACTATATTAACCCTTTCCCTGCATAGATAGAACATTGCTCATATTACTATATTAACCCTTTCCCTGCATAGATAGAACATTGCTCATATTACTATATTAACCCTTTCACTGCATAGATAGCACATTGCTCATAATACTATATTAACCCTTTCCCTGTATAGATAGAACATTGCTCATAATACTATATTAACCCTTTCCCTGTATAGATAGAACATTGCTCATATTACTATATTAACCCTTTCCCTGCATAGATAGAACATTGCTCATATTACTATATTAACCCTTTCCCTGCATAGATAGCACATTGCTCATATTACTATATTAACCCTTTCCCTGCATAGATAGAACAGTGTTCATATTACTATATTAACCCTTTCCCTGCAAAGATACAACATTGCTCATAATACTATATTAACCCTTTCCCTGCAAAGATACAACATTGCTCATAATACTATATTAACCCTTTCACTGCAAAGATACATAATTGCTCACATGTGTTTAGATTCTGCTGAATTAACCCTTTCACTGCAATATACAACACTGTTCACATTACTGGGTTAACCCTTTGCTACCGTATACTCTATGGTTCACAGTGCTAGCTTGACCCAGCACTTCACTATACACGGCTGGTTATGATATTGGATAAACTCCATCCAATGCATTATATAATTTACATTACCAACTCAGCTGCTACATCGCACTGTACAGCATTGTTCACTACATTGGACAGAGCCCCTTCACTGCCCTATGCAATGCTTACATGCTACATTAACCCCTTCTCTCAAATATATCAAATGTTTGGCACCAGTAGATGAACCCTGCCATTGTGCTATACATTAGTAGATTCTCCTTCTGACTGCTCTCTGCAAAGTTATTGACATTATTTTAACCCTTTCATCGCATGACACCATATCGTTCACATGACTAGATTAACCTCTGTATCGTAGTATATATTGTTCACATTACTCTGTTAACCCCTTCACTGCATTGTACAAAACTGTTCATATTCCTGGAGGTTCCACTGGATTAACCCCTTTTCTTCAATATACAAGTCATGTTCACATGGGGTTAATCCCTTGCACTGCACTATACTAAATTGTTCACATTGCTCCAGATTCACAGGTATTATACCCCAGACTTTGTTCGGATTACAAGAGTTACCCTCAAATTGACCCCCATCATTGCATTTTAATACACCTAACATTATTCATGTTTCCGGAGGCAGATTACTCCATTTACCGCACTGTACACAATTATTTATAAATACCCCTTCATTGCACAATACATTGTGCATATTACTAAAAAGTGCTGCTGGATTAACCCCTTCACTGCACAATACGTTGTGCAAATTACTAAAAGTGCTGCCGGATTACCTCCTTCACTGCACAATATCGTTTGCAAATTAACTAAACGTGCTGCCGGATTAACCCCTTCACTGCTCGGTACAGCATTATTCACATAACCAGCGGGGCTACAAAATGAGCCGCTGCGCTGCACATTGCTCAAATTATACCACATCTTCTATCGGATTAACCCCTTTCCCGCTAGATACAGAATAATTCACCGGAGGAGCTTTAATATTAACCCCTTCCGTAATATAAATTACAATTCATGGCTTAATCGCCAGTCAGGTTATGTTACCAGCAAAAAAAACAAAAACATTTTTCACATTTCCAAAGGTGCCCCTGGATTAACACCTTTCCTGCTGGAAACAACATCATTATATTACCAACAATATCCCTTCCTATTCAACATAGTTGCTCTGGAGTAACCGCTTCACTCGCAGAGGACAATTGTTCACATCAAATGACATTTTGATGTATCTCCCGCTTTATTTTAATATTCCGTGTTTTTGGCATAGTAGAGACGTGTTGCTTTCAATACTAAGGTGCTGCTGGATTAACCCCTTCACTGCAAAATAAAATGTAGCTCAAACGTCGGAACAACCCATTTCGCTGCACCGATCAGCACTGTTCATAATACACGCCGAGCTGATCGCTAACCTCTTCTTTGCTCAATACAATGAGGGGAATTTATCAAAATTGGAGCAGACAAAAACTAGAGCAGCTGTGCATGGCGACCAATCAGATTCTCGCTTTAATTTTACATCTTAACTGAACAAACTGAAGAGAGAAGCTGATTGGTTGCCATGGGCAGCTGCTCCGGATTTGACAAATTCCCCCCAATGTTGTTCAGAGGAGGTCCGTAGTAACCCCTTCACTGCATGATAGACAGATGTAAAAGGAGGGAGAGAGAGGGAGAAAGAGAGAAAGAGAGGGGAGAGAGGGGAGAGAGAGAAGATAAGTGAGAGAAGAGAGAGGAGTAAAGAGAGAGGAGAGCAGAGAGGGGAGAGAGAGAGGGGGGAGAGAGAGGAGAGAGAGACAGAGAGAAGATGAGAGAGAGAGAGAGAGGAGAGAGAGAAGATAAGTGAGAGAAGAGAGAGGAGTAAAGAGAGAGGAGAGCAGAGAGGGGAGAGAGAGAGGGGGGAGAGAGAGGAGAGAGAGACAGAGAGAAGATGAGAGAGAGAGAGAGAGGAGAGAGAGAAGATAAGTGAGAGAAGAGAGAGGAGTAAAGAGAGAGGAGAGCAGAGAGGGGAGAGAGAGAGGGGGGAGAGAGAGGAGAGAGAGACAGAGAGAAGATGAGAGAGAGAGAGAGAGAGAGAGAGGAGAGAGAGAGGGGGGGGAGAGAGAGAGGGGGAGAGAGAGGGGAGAGACAGAGAGCAGAGAGAGGGAGAGAAAGAAAGTAAGAAAGAAAGCAGGGTGTTGATAAGAATTAGAATTGATAGATGAATATATAGGAAGG